AAAAACATCAAAAAACCAATGGTTTTTCAACAACAAATTGTCAAAATCTCATCCCGCGCGCTCTTGCGGATTCGTAGGAAACCCAACACTTTTTAAACATTTCTGTCAAACGGGCTTTTGCGAGCAACTTTTTCGAACTTCTGCGACAACGGTTGCGCACCTGCCAGGGCCATCATCCCTGTCAAATAATACCATGCGGGACACATTCGTTTTTTCTTCGCGCGCGCACGCCGAAATCTCCAAAAACCATTGGGCTTCTTAAGAATTTTAGCACCGCGCATCATAAAATCATATGCAACATATGCATATACAACAGATGTTCTGTGGAAGGCTTAACAACTTCTGTGGGTTAACAAGGCTTAACAACTTCTGTGGGTGTACGAACGTAGGCTTAACAACTTCTGTGGGTGTGTACTCCACGCCAGTGTAGTAGCCACGGTCGTCCGCAGGCCACGAAGTGAAGTGTCCGAACGTCATAGGGCGGGAAGCTGGGTGTGGGTGGTGGCGAAGAGTCGTGTGGATATTTGGTAGAGCTTGCACTGCCCCCCCACAAAGTGGGGGTATTGGCTGGCGTCGCATGAAAACCCTGGCACTGGTGAGAACACTGAGCGTTCGGGTAAAGTGATTGTTGTTGTTGTTGTTGTTGTTGTTGTTGTCGTGGTGGTGCTGGTTGTTGTGGTGGTGGTAGCTGTGGGGGTGGTGGTTGTGTGGTGGCTTGTGGTGGCTTGTGGTGGCTTGTGGTGGTGGTGGTGGTGGTGGTGGCGGTGGTGGTGGTAGCGTGGTGGTTTGTGGTGATCCTGTTGGTTGTGGTGGGCTGTGGTGTTGGTGGTGGCGGTGGTGCTGGTGGTGCTGGTGGTGCTGGTGGTGCTGGTGGTGGTGGTGGGTCGTGGGTGGTGGTGGTCATGGTGGTGGTGGTGGTGTGGTGGTATGTTGTGGTGGTGGTGGTGGTGGGTTGTGGTGGTGGTGCAAGTGGTGTGGTGCTTTGCTGTGGTGGTGGTTTCTGTTAGTTGCGGTGGGTTGTGGTGGTGGTGGTGGTGGCGTTTGTGGTGGTGGTGGTGGTGGTGGTGGTGGTGTAGTGGTCTGTGGTGGTGGTGGTGGTTGTGGTTGTGGTGGTGGGTTGTGGTGGTTGTGGTGGTGGTGGCGGTGGTGGTGTTGGTAGTTTGTGGTGAAGGTGAGGTGGTGGTTGTTGCGGTTGTGGTGGTGGTGGTGGTGTGGTGGTTTGTGGTGGTGGTGGTGGCTGTATGGTGGTTTGTGGTGGTGGTGGTGGTAGTGGTGGGTTGTGGTGGTGGTGGTTGTGGTGGTTGTGTGGTGGATTGTGGTGCCTGTGGTAGTGGTGGTGGGTTGCTGTTGTGGTGGTGGTGGTGGGTTGTTGTGGTGGTGATGGTGGTGGTGGTGGTTTGTGGTGGTGGTGGTGGTTGTGTGGTGGTTTGTTGTTGTGGTGGTGGTGGTGGTGGGTTGCGGTGGTGGTGGTGGTGTCGGCGGTGGTTGTGGTGGTGACGTGGTCATTTGTGGTGGTGGTGGTGGTAGGCTGTGGTGGTGGTGCTGGTGGTTGTGGTGGTTGTGGTGGTGGTGGTGGCGGTGTGGCGCTTTGTGGTGGTGGTCGTGGTGGGTTGTGGTGGTGGTGGCGTTTGTGGTGCTGGTGTTGGTGTAATGGTTTGTGGTGGTTGTGGTGGCGGTGGGTTGTGTTGGTTGTGGTGGTGGTGGTGGTGGTTGTTGCGGTGGTTGTGGTGGTGGTGGTGGCGGTGTGGCGCTTTGTGGTGGTGGTCGTGGTGGGTTGTGGTGGTGGTGGCGTTTGTGGTGCTGGTGTTGGTGTAATGGTTTGTGGTGGTTGTGGTGGCGGTGGGTTGTGTTGGTTGTGGTGGTGGTGGTGGCGGTGGTGGTGGAGGTGGTGGTGGTTTGTCATGGTGGTGTTGTGGCCTTCGGGTCTGCCCGCCACCGTGTTTTGGCTTTGGGTCAGAATTCTAATGGATGCCTCTTGAGGTCTCGTCAGAGGGGTTTCGGGGGCGTCTGAGGAGCATGTTTGAAGCTTCCTGGACATTCCTAAGGGCCTCCCAGTGGCTTGTGGGGGCGAGGGCTCGATATGGCGATTTGTGTTTCCCCTCTGCGGTCTCTGGGCCATCTCTGGTCATTGTCGCTGCGTCCCCGCCGTCGGCGCTGCGGGCCGCCGCCAGCGCCGGCGCTGGCGCCGCGGGGGGGGTTGGAACCCCCCCTCTGAGCCGGGGGGGGTTGGGGGTTGGGACCCACCCCCCCCAAAGGGGGGGCGGTTTGGGGAGGGGGGGGGTTACGGGTAAGGGAGTCCCCACTGGTTCTGATCGACGGCGCCCAATGTTTGGGGTGCCACCCCCCCCCCGGTTCGAAACGCGCCGCCGAATGTTCCCAAGGCAAGCGCCCGTGAAGCGCGCTCTCTCTTATCTCGGCATCTTGACTGTCGGTGTGGTCGGAGGGTAGCGCCGCATTGGCGATACATCGCCGACGCGACGCATCGCCGATGCGGTGCGATCCTCCTGCCCCATCCGCTCAAGCCCCAGTCGGTCGCCTCCAGACATCCTCGCACCGTGGAGAAATCTCACCACCAGAACGCACCGCAGAAGAGTTCCGGCGGTCGAATTTCGACCCCCAGAGCCAGACCCCCTCGCGTCGTGAAAACATCGCGAAGGAGTTCTTTTTTGTCTTGTTCGACCTCCAAAAGACTTTACTGGCCTCCGGGACCGACAAAAAAACGGATCGGGATGAAAAGCCGGTCCCAGCGGAGTGGTCTAAATTTCCCGGGGTCGCGTCGTCAAGAAATCGCGACGCTGGAGCTCCGGGCTCCGCCATTCCCACGAACTCACTGTTAATCTCCTGAGCGCTCGACCACGTCTCTCCCTCCCGAGCGCTCCTCACCCGCCCTGCTGACGACGACGGCAGTAATTCGCCGGCCCAACGGGCCAGAGGCGTGCTAAGATCTCCGGTGACTGCTTTACAATCTTTCTACTTCGCGCGCGCGGGGCGGCCCCTGGGGGCCCCCGGGCGGAAAGTACCCCGGCAAGGTCCCGAGAGAGTCCCGGGAGGAGTCACCAGGGCGCTCCAGCAGCGCACCAACGCGGCTCCGAGACGTCCCCGAGAGCCCCAAGAAGGGCCAAGAGGCTTCCAAGAGGCCCCCAAGATGCTACATGAGGGGTCCGAGATGCCACAAGATCGCTCCAAGACGCCCACGATGGCCCCCAGACGCCCCAAGAGGCCTCCAAGAGCACTCCCGAGAGGGCCCCAAGAGGCAAAATTCACTGCTTTTCCTTAGGTTTTGGAGAGATTTTGGCGTTTCCACCTTTTCGGCTTCACGACACCCCAAGACGGCCCAAGAGGCCCCCAAGACCGCCCCAAGAGGGCCCAAGAGGCCCCCAAGAGGGCCCCAAGACGGCCCAAGAGGGCTCCAAGACGGCCCAAGAGGCCTCCAAGACGGCCCAAGAGGGCCCCAAGAACGCCCCAAGAGGGACCCCAGGGGGGGAACACGAAACAATATTTCGAGCCCTCGGCCCTCAGAAGTCCCCAGGAGGCCCCAAGAGGCCCCTAAGAGGCCCCAAGAGGCCCCCAACAGGCCCTCAGGAGGCCCCCAAGAGGCCCCCAAGCGGCCCCAGGAGGCCACCCAAATGCCCCCCCGAGCACGCAAGCAAGTGCCAGCGACGCTACACTATGGGCCGGCGGAATGAGCGAAGCGATTCAATAAGACAAAATCGAGCAACGATTTGTTGTATATGTTTTTCTCTGTACCTATCCCAAATCTGGCAAAGATAAATCGGAAACCTTTGAGAACAGGCGGGCCAGGAGGATGCATCGGTCGCCACACCCTTTCTGGAGCGTGGCAGGGCGCTCCAAGAGCGTTCCGGAGCACTCTGGGACGGTGCATTCCCCATAGCCGAAGCATGGGGTTCTTGTTCCCCGTATCCAAGATCTGGGATCCTTGTTGGAATTCAGATGTGTAATGCCTCCGCCTGCTGCCTTCCCGCCTCCCTCCCTCCCACTCACTCACACCCAAATCCACTCATACTCAGCTGAGTCGTCCTCAGACTCATACGCCCTGACCGCTCACACTCGCTTCACTCACACTCATACCCAAATGCGCTCAGATCCACTCACTTTCAGCGTAGTCATTTGCAGTCCAATGCGCACATACCGTTCACACTCAGATCATTCACGCTCAGACTTATTCATACTCGCATGGGACTTGGGCATCCCAATGGGGAGCCGCCAAGATGTGTTACACGGGCCCCTTCGCGTCCAGACTGCGAGGATGTCTCATGTGAACCTCCTGTTTCGTCGCCTCGGGCTTCTCTTCCTTGAGGTCCCCGTGATCACCGCAATGTAGAAGGCATGACAATTGGGGATCCCGAGGAGGAGCGCCGCCAGGGGGTGTTACACGGGCTCGTTCGCGCCCAGATTGCTGCGGGGTCTTCTCGGACCCCTCTCTCCTGAGGGTCCCATGACCGTCGCCATGTAGCAAGCACCGCATTTGGGCATGCCAGGGGGGAACTCGTCAGCGGGTGCTGCACAAGTCCGTTGCCTCGGACTCCTCTCATCAAGTCCCCATGATCACCGCGACGTATCAGACATGGCCTTTGGGCATCACGGCATCACGGCATCCCAATGGGGGAGCCTCCAAGGGGTGGTAGTACACGGGCCCCTTCGCGCTGAGACTGTGGAACGCTTGCTTTTGCCCCACTCACTACTCTCTCTTGAGAGCTCCATGATCACCGCGACGTAGCAGGCGTGACACTTGGGCATCTCAAGGGATCCGCCAGGGGAAACCCTGTCATGCCCAGAATCACTTACGTTCAGGTCCAGTGTACCCAATCAGACGTAGCCAACCTTACACTCAAGCTCGATCATTCCACATCATCGTAGACAAACAAATGGCTACAAAAGCTAGGCAAATACGGGTATTCCGGCGTCCCGCGTCGGACAATTTACGTCTTGGGCCTGCCTGACTGCTGCCCCCACCCAATCCCACTACCCTCCGGATCCACCGCTCCACGTCCAATCCGCAACACCCCAGCGATTGAAATACATTTCATCCGCACAAAGCGCGTGATACGGAGTCCGAAGAACCAAAAACGGCAGGGGCACGAACTTCCGGAGCTCCGCGCGGCCTTCTCGGGTCGGCGATGGTGACCCCCCTGGCGGCGCCTCCAGCGCAGCCCCCCGCCAGAAACTTGACCGGGCCACCTCACTTCGCGCATCGCTCCCCGCGATGCGCGACGCCCTTCGCGCCCTCGCGCGATCGTCCACGCAAGGCTTCTCAGAAGCCGCCGGGCCCTTCCGAGGAAGCCCCCTGCCGCCCCTCCGAGAGGGCCCCTGCCTCCCGAGAGGGCCCCTGCCGCCTTCTCGGAGAGCCGCCCCCCTCGCGCCACGCCCACTTGGGCGCCGCCGAGCTCCTATTGCGTCAGCGTGCTGACTGCCGTTTCCTGCCCTTCGGAGAAAGAACTACCCTGCAGTGCCCGGGGGCAAATTTGGTACCGAATACACGCGCGAGGATCGGCGACTCCAACAGGTGTGGTCTGCAAGGCGTGTGGCTTGCAACCCGCGCCTGGGGGCGAGGGGTCGGGCAAGGAGCTCCACGGATGTCTCTGCCGCACCCCGACGAGGGCTCAGCAAAGCCTTGGCGCAACGTGATGATCCCTGAGCTCCAACGGAGCCACTCGCAAACCACACTCGGGCACAACCGCACCCGTTGCAGTCGCCGATCAGTGCACGTGCGAGGAGCAATCCCCGCACAGCCACGCACAGCCGGCCGCGGCGCCCCGCTGCTCGCAGACCGGCGTGATCATCTCGGGGACCGGCCCCGCCCTTCCGATGCATCGGGCCGGCCTGGGCCACGGGGAACAGCCTGAGGAGGAAACTCCTGGCGGCCTCGCGCGGCAACTCGGGACCCAATTCGCGTCGGATCCACATCGGATTTGCGTCGGGTTCCCGTCGCGAGGCCCCCATGACTGGTTTCCCTCATCAGCAACCTGTCCAGAAGAAGGCACGACGGCATACACGTAAGCATGACCACAAACGGCATACGCATAAACTGTCGGAGATCTGCGCTGACATCTTGGATCTGCCCTGGGCCCCCCTCCCTTGCGCGCGGAGCGCGCCAGGGGGCGGCGCTGAGGGCGCCGCCAGCTTGGCCGATCCAAGAAATCTGCGCGGAGCTCAGAAAATCTATGCTCGAACCAGAACTCCCTGCAATCAGCAGTGGATCGGTCCAGGGAGCGCCCCTTTCGAGCTCCTCCTCCTCCTCCTCCTCCTCCTCCTCCTCCTCCTCCCCTTCCCCCTCCATCTCGTGGAGGAAAGAACTTGCACCTTCTCGATCCCGGCCATAATCTGCCCGAAACTTGCCCCCTGCCTCCCAGGCACCACCGCGACCAGCTTTCTGACCTGCGTCCAGCGAAGACGACGGGGGATCGAACTGAGCCAAAAACGCCGACATCCGCAAACATGTTTTCTGTCTCTAAAAAATATACGGCCCCACAGAACCCATTCGTTTTTCTGGAAATCACTCTTCGCTCAGGATGCATGTTTGATTGTTCTGGGGCCTGAAGACGAGCCCCCGAAGTTGAATTTAGGTCGGGCCTGTCCCCCTACAAGGGGGAGCCCAGGCGAAACATAAAAAATTGCAACAGAAGTGCACAAACATACTCAGAAATGGTAAGCAACATCGTCCCCAGGCTTTTTCTTTTCTATTTCTGGATATTCCTCCTATAGAGGGACAGGCCCGACTTAAAAAGCTGAATTCTTCGAAAGAAGAGGTTGAACCGCAGAAGAATCCCTCGGGGGGGACGGGGCGCCCGAGGCCGTCCGCTGCGGCAAAGCGGTCTGGCGGGGGTCTGGCCCGAGACCGCCTTCCAATGCACTGAAGACTGGCCATCGCTTGGACGTCCATTCCCTGTGTTTTTTTGGTTTCGTGCGTGGGTTGTTCGCCAAATGATCAAGGATGCTCCTCGATGGTCCTCGCCGAAGGAAAAATGCACACGTCCGAGCGATGCCAAGCTCAATGGGACGCACAGGGACATAATACTACTACTACTACTACTACTACTACTACTACTTCTTCTTCTACTACTACTAATACTACTACTACTACTACTTCTTCTTCTTATACTTCTTCTTCTTCTTCTACTACTACTACTACTACTGCTGCTACTGCTACTGCTACTGCTACTGCTACTGCTACTACTACTACTACTACTACTACTACTACTACTACTACTACTACTACTACTACTACTACTACTACTACTACTACTACTACTACTACTACATGTCCTCCCTGGAGGCACGCGTCCGACCCGAACATGCAGTATACCCATCTTGTAGTATATCGTTTCCCGAGCGGCGTGGCCAGAAAGCGCCCGCCGCGACACACATGCTACAAGATTTCTCGGTGCGCGCGTCGCCCTTGGGGGGGGGCGACGCACATATGGTATAAGTATGTTGGGGTGACGCCGACTCAATGCCGCTACATCGAGATCCAATCTTGATCGTCCCAGGCCCAGGGCCGACGAGGGAGAACCCCAGAGCCGAAAACAAGGGAAAACGCCCGAATGAAAAATCCGAGCGTCGGAGATCTGAGGGTTCGGGGATTGACGACAACACAGCACAACCTCCTTTAGTGAAAGCTTCGAGGGGTACTCCACATGTGCACGGCACCGCATTCCGAGTGCACCCAGGCGGAATCACTAGTCGACGTCCAAAAACAATCGAATGTACCTGGCGAAAGGCATGTCGATTCGCGAACCCTACTGGGGACTGCACAGGTACACTCGTGTGCCAATGTCGAGTGAACCCGTGCAGATTTCTCAGTCGACTTGTCTGGGTGGACGTTCTCTCAAATGCCCGAGGCGCAGCTCAGGCCGACTCCGTCCAGTGTGCCCGGGAGCTCCACTCGCCTCTGCTCGGAGGGGACCCGCGGCCCCACGCTTGCGCTGGCCGCTGCCCAGGCCTCCTGCGTCGCGATGCTGTCAACAACGTGGACAACCAGATGTGGAGACCACTTCTCCAGGCCTGAGACCCTGGCGTCTCAACTACTTCGAGCCTGGCATTCTGGTCTGGGCTCGGGCCCCACAAATCGATCCGGCTCCAAAGTGGCGCAGAGAGATGGGGTCTAGGGCTCTGGTCGTAATTTTCATGATCTTCAATTTTGTCGCTGAGCCGATCTCAGGGAGGGCCGCTTTTTCCACAGGGCGAGGTCTGGGCCAGGCTGGGTCAAGACGCGGCGCTCGAAACTCTCCAAGAACGCGCTCAGACCAGAACCTCGGGGAGAATCCGGCCAAGGCCTCGAGATGTGTGGAAACAGCGACAAGCAACAATCCTACCTCCTCCTCTTCCCCCAGTCCTCCTCCTTCTCCTCTTCCTCCTCCGCCTCCTCCTCCTCCTCCTCCTCCTCCTCCTCCTACCCCCCCGCCCCGACCCCAGAGCGCAAAACTTCCCTTGCATGAGCCCCACGACCCGATAGCTTCAGCTTTTTTAAGGGCAGCTGTGCGCCCCCGGTCCTCCTCCTTTTCATCTTCTTCCTCTTCCTCCTCTTCCTCCTCCTCCTCCGCCTCCTCCTCCTCCTCCTCAGTGCCGTGACGTCTGCCGATTTGTTCTTTTCAATCCGCGGCCCCAGAGCTCCCGAGCCCCTTCCACAGAAGGGGGCAGCTCCGCGCCCCGGGATGCACTTCTGATCGTCCTGGGGCCCGACGGCAAGCCCCAATGCTCGCCGTCGCTCGGACGTCCATTTCCCGTCTATGTTTCTATGTTGTGCGTGTGTCTTTTGCTCGATGGCCCAGGATGGCCCTCGATGGATGGCTCTCGCCGAGAAAAAGTGCACACGTCCGAGCGATGCCGAGAATGGGGGCGAAGTCGAGGACCAACGCCCGGACTGGAAACATCGGGTCGCTGGAGATCTGGAACCCTCGAGTCTGCAAGTGGCCTCCCAAAGAGGGTCCGGGGAGATGAGGTCGACGGATCCCCCCGCACCGCCGATGCATCGCCGAGGCGTCGTCGACAGCAGCGAGGAACCGGCGACGTCGACGTGGATCACATCGGTATACACGTCGGGCCGCATCGGCAATGCGTCGGCGATGGGATGCGAGCCTTCGACCCCGTCCACTCGGCCCACACTCGGGGGTCCTCGAGCCCCGATTGCGACGCGAGGAGGCCTGGGCCCCAACCCTCCGCCGGGCGCGCGGGCCCGGCTCACGGCGCGCGGCAAACCCGCTCGGCCCTGTCGGCTCTGAGCGGCACGCGCCTCGCGCGCCAAGCCTGGCCAGAAGGGGGGGAGGGAGGGAGGGGGAGGGGCGGAAGAGGGGGAGAAGGATCGACAGGCGCCAGATCGGCACTGACGGCGGGGCGACGTCAGGATCTCTGTGTTTCGGGATGAGCGCCCCCCACGGCGACCTTGAGATTTCTCGCCGTTTTCGAGTGCGCAGCTGCTGCGGGGTGAATTGGCGTGCGCGTCTCTCAGAAGGGGGAGGAGGTAAAGGGGGACGAGGACAAGGAAGAGGAGGAGGAGGAAGAGTAATTAGGAGGAGGAGGAGGAGGAGGAGGAGGAGGAGGAGGAGGAGGAGGAGGAGGAGGAGGAGGAGGAGGAGCAGGTGGACGAGGAGGAGGACGAGGAGGAGGAGAGAGGGAAGCGGAGGAGGAAGAGGGAGGGAGGGAGGGAGGGACGGAGCGGAGGAGGAGAAGGAGTTCGTTCCAAAACAAGGGAGGAAGCGCAGCTTCGACGAGCAGCGGGGGGCCCGTGCGGGGTGGGCCGGCCCCGCTGTGAACGCGGAGCAAAACTAGCATATCTTAGACTCGCACTGATGCTAATGGCTGAGTCTGTTGGAATCATGTCAAAAGACCCACCAGTGCCAGACGGAAAAACTGTGAATTCAATCAAAGACACCACCAATGCAAGTAGCAAAGCAGATTTTCCTCACGATTTTTTGTATACCACACCTTCCCCGCCCCACTCAGATTCCACCACCCGGGGCCCCTGTCAGCATGTAGAAACCACGCTCCAGGGAAGATATTTGCATTCCAGACCCACGACCAGGAACCTCGCTCGCCCCACGTGGCTGCTAGGTATATTATACAGTTTTTGCAGGCGGATGGTTGAAATATCAAGGGGCGCCCGCCAATACCAGAAGGAAGCGCGCTGGAAACAAAAAACAGAGACCCCACCAATGCCAATAGCGGGGCGCGGTTGGCATATATCGAAAGACACCCACCAATGCCTGACGGGGGATTGAAACAAACCGGGGGCACCACCAATGCCAGTATCAGAATATGTTTGACATATATCAGGAAACGCTCACCTATGCTAGACGGAGAACATGTTATGACTGATTCAGATACTCCATCAGTACCAGTAGCTGACTACGTTTTGAAAATGCCAAAAGACGCCCACCACTGCCAGACAAAGGACATGCTTGAAAGAAGTCAGAGACCCCACCAATGCCAGTAGATGAGCCTGCTCGAATTTCTACCACATATTCCCACCACTGCCAATCGGGGAACATGTTTGAAACATATACCACACTCCAGGCTCCCACTCTGGCCCAAAGGGCGTCCGAAAAAGAGGAACAGCCGGATCGCGAAGCTCATGGCAAGCGCGCCACCGAAGATCCGTCCAACGCGGCCTTAGAACGCGCCTTCCGTGACCGCGCAGAACTGTTGGTGCGCAGTCTCAAGGGCCATCCATTATGCTCGCAATCGGTCCCAAAGCTCGGGCAATCGGGCCACCCGGCGCAGACAATTCGCCGGCGCGCCCGCCGAACATTGACCGCTGGACTGAACGAGAAGGCCGCCGCCGAGCGAGGCAGCGCCCGCGTCCGTGGAGCCGCGCGCCCGCAGTAGCGTGTCCACAGCAGCAGTCTCAGCCGCAAGATCGGGGCCGCCGCGGGCTTCATCTCCACGTTCTTGCACCGCTTCGTCAGCGACCTCCCCGGCAATGAGACCGAGCCGAACGTCCCATCGCCGCGACTAGAAATGAATATGTCCATGGCAATGTGTGGAAGATCATGCCTTTCTGAAGGCGGGATGTGGCATGTATGAGATACCTGAAGGCGCGTCCAATGCGGGCGCGGAAGCTCGACCACCTTCCGCGCCCCCGAGCAAAAGCAGCATCGGAAAACGGGGGGTGCCACTGCGACGGGCCAGAGTGAGAAGGCACAACTGACCTATCGTTTGAGTCTGGTGCTCAAGCCCGCCCGTCGCGCAGTCGATAGGACATTGCAGAGAAGGGCTTCGCGAACCTCCCCTTCGTAAGGAAAAGCTGCCTGGCTGCGAGAAGGCGCGTCAACCTGGTTCCGACATGTCTCGGAACTGTCAGACTTCATTTCGCCCCAAAAGGAATTTGTCCCCCCGCGGTGCCAACCGCGAAACCACTTGCACGGCGCCAGTGGCAGGGGCGCAAATACTCTTGACGAAGCTCATGAGACTAATCGGTCAGACCCAATACTCCCAAGGAGCAACTGCTAGATAACCGCGAGCGGCACTGGCAGAGACCGCGCAAATGCACCCACCTGATAGCTAAAGTCATCAATCTCGCGCGTTGGTCTCGCACACCCGCTTTCCGACTCCGCGTGACTTTGCGACGCGGTCACGAGAGTCGTCTCCTTGCTTCGGCGTGAGTGAGCTTTGCTGCTATGAGCTCGGGGCGGTATTATTCAGCGTGTCGTCGCTGAACTTGACCGTGGCGTGGTCATGGCTGATCTGGCCGTCCATCGCGCTGAGGACGAGCTCTCGGCCCGCGCTGCCCTTGGCCACGGGGCCGGCCCGCGTGTCCCGAGTGTCGCGCCAGTGCGAATCGTCGATCTGCTCGGTGCGAGGCTGGTTGGCCAAACGCCGCAGGTGGCCAGCCATGCTGTTCTCGGACGGAAGCTGGACCAGATCTTTCAGCAGAGCGCTCAAGACGGACATGCCTTCTGTGACGACGTCTGCTGGAACCGCGTAGACCCCTTCCCCTGGCCCCCTGATCTCCGCGGCAGAGGCGGGGCCGCGCGCCGTCTCGCGCGACGCGAGGAGGTTCGCCAGCGGGCCGTCGGCTGCGCCGCGTGCTGCGAACAGCTCAGGGACGAATGATGATCTGCGAAGAAATTGGTGCGATCGGCTCGCTGCGCCCAGCGGGCGGCGCGCCTGTTTGCCGGAGCGACGGCGCTTGCAGAGTTGAGTGTAAACGGCTCCTCTCTGGCCGTATCCTGACCCCCCCCCTCCTGACGGCCCGCCGCTGCGCGCGCTGGGTCGCCTGGCGCACTCCATTGACAGAAGTGCGATGCGTGTTCTGGTCTTGTGCGTGGCTAGAGCAACGGAATTGAGCTGCGTCGCGCGTCGGATGAGCAGCTTGTTCTTGGTTCTCTGCAGAGCGACAATGCACGCTGCGACGCGGTGCTGGGCGGGCAGAGCGTAGGCCGCTGCCCCCAGGAGGGGCGCGCAGAAGTCGGAAAGCTGACCTCCGGCCGTGTCTGATCGGTATCCGGCCGTCGATGTACTCGTCCTGGTCGAGCGTCGCGGTGCCATCGGCGCTGCGGTGCTGGTGCGCTCCGCAAGTGGTGAAATCGTCGTAATCGCCCTTCATCTTGCCGAAGATGCTCTCGATGTGGCTGATTAACCAGTCGACCTGCTCCTTTTGCCATGCAATCTTCAGATCGTCATCGCGCGTGGACAACGCGAGCACTAGCTCCGAAAGGCAGGCAACATCTGCTGGGCGTCGCGCGCTTGACCGAGCTCCGGGCCCAACCTGGTAGATTTGGCGCTGCGCTCAGGTGAGCGCGCAACCCTGGCGAGCTGGATGGAGAAGGCCCTGGGCGCTTCCTTGCTGCCCGTGACCAGCTTGATGCAGCGCGGGCATTCGTTCCGCTCGTCGAAACTTTCGTAGCCAGGCGCCTGCCTGAGGATGGCTGCAATGCCGGGTGGCGGGGTGAAGTTGGCCTCTTGAGCTGCTTCGCCTTGCTCCTGCATCCCTGCGTGGGTCATGTCACTGACGTCGGTTTGTCCGCGGCGCCGCGGACAGTGCGCCAAACGCGTGTCTGTGCTCTGCAAAAGTTGCCGGTGCCATGCTTGGCGCGATGCCGCGGCGCATCGGGCGTGCCGCCCGCCGTGCTGGAGGGCCTCAAAGAACGCGGGGCGCTCCCCGTCATCGCCACTGAAGGTCGTAAATGAAAGAGGCGGAGCCAGCGGCGCAGCGGCCAGCGCCAGAGGAAGATTGACGGGCATGTCCGTGTAACTCCGCGCGGCCCGACGTCGTTGCTCAGCTTCCTGCCGGCGAACCCAAGCGCCAGCGGTGTGCTGTGGAGCTCCTCGAAATGCCGTCGTTGTATGGTCGAGGGCGGTGTGTGTACGCGGCGTTCGGATCGCTCGCCGCCGGAAATCCAAGTGTCGCGGCCGTCGAACCACATGGCCGCTCTCCCGGGCGGTCGGATCGCGTCGACGGGGCTGTCCTGATTGAGAAGAGCCAGGTCCTGGGGAGACTCTGGCACTGGCGGTGGCGTAGCCGTTGGCGTGGACTGCGGTGGCCGCATAGAGCTCGATCCACATGGCGCGCAGATGCCGAGAGCTGAGACTAAAGGCTCGTAAGCCCAGCTCAGCTAGGCACGTGCACGTCGGCAGACTGGGTCTGGGGCGCGGCGACACGTGCGTTGAGGTCGCCTATCCAGTCGCGCCCCCAGGATTGAATGCACCGCCCAGTTGCGTCCACCACTGTAGCGTGGTTGGTGGCAGTTGTGCCGCTGAGGCTGCTGGACCTGCTGGTGCATTTGGTGCACTTGAAGCTGGCGCGGCTGGTGGCGTTTCCCCCGCTGCTGTCTCACGGCTCAGTGACGCAATGACCAAAACCCGCTGGTGCTGCTGGGACTTGCGCGCGGCCCATGAGGTCGGCCATTTCCCGCCACTATAGTCGTCGTGGTTCGCCTTGGCGTGGCGGCAGCTCCTGCCGAAATTGACCAATGGTGGTGGCCAATGGGCTACCACGAGCCGTCCGACGAAGAACTCGGAGCAACCGCTGGTGCTGATGGCCGCGTCGCGGGTGCTGCTGGAGTTGGCTGTCCGCCATTCCAGGGGTCAACGCTCTGCAATGGATCGCCGTTCCCGGCGCCCTCGGCCACAGGCTGGCCCCGCCGGCGCTGGCGGCGGCGAACAGCAGCGGCAGCAACAACAGCAGCGGAGGCCGCCGCCAGGGCAGCGGGGCCCCCTCGCACGCAAGAGAGGCCGGAGGCGGCCACCAGGCCCGCCGGGGCATTTACCGCCAGCGACCCGCGTGAAGCGGCCGCGGGGGCGGCAGCCGCTGTAGCCGCGGCGAACACGCAAGGCGGCCAGGAGCCGCCGCCGCCGCTGGCAACCGCCGCCGCCAACAGGACACTGGCAGCGGCGGCGTCGGCGGCAGCTTCGGGCCGGGCGGGGGGCCGCCGCCGGCCGCAAACCCCGCAACCGCGGGGCAACAGCCGAAAGGGGGGGGGCCGCCGCCCGTCGCGGCCGCCGGCCCCGGGAAGTCGGCAGCGTCGGCGGCCGTTTCAGCAGCGCCGTTTCGCGCGGCCACGGGGGCCCTGGGCCGTGTGGGCAGCCCCGGTGGCGCAGCGAAGCGGCGGCCAGCCGCCGTTAGCCGTTGCCGCCGCCAGATGGCCGCGCCAGAGCAGCCGCCGCCGCCAGCGAAGGCCATGGCGGGACCTGGCGGAGCGCGCGGACCTGACGGAAAGGCGTGCTTGAGCCAGGGGGGATTGAGCCAGAAGGGGCTACGGAACATCCAACAAACACGACACGAAAAACATCAGGGTACCCTGCCCGAGCCGACCTCGCCCTTCTACGTCGGTCCGACCGTAATCCCTCTGCATCCCCACCCGACGTTGCCCCTGACAGGACCGCGGCGGCCTCGAAAGGCCACCTCGCCGGCGACACGGCAGCGGCGAGCGCGCCCCAGAGCGGGCAGGTGCACCCGCGGGGGTCGCTGCTCTCCACCTCGAGCACCTCGAGGGCGCTGCTTACTGGGGGGGTGGCGATACAGTCGACCCGTACGATAGGGACGCACGGTAAGGATGCAAGGGCCTTGTAAGGCCACGTCGGCGCTTTGCGAGCGGGGCGCGGCCAGCCAAAGCGGCCAAGGGAGGGCCGAAGGGGAAGGATGCAGGGGTCACTTTGGAAAATCGTTCATCCATACTATGCGGGTGGACTGTAACGAACGAGAAACGGCATCAACGTAAACTTTCGGAGGTCCGCGCGGACTTCTCGGATCGGCGCTGGAGCTCCCTGGCGACGCCTCTGGCGCGCGCGCCGGGAAGGGTCCAGCGCAGATCCAAGGAATCCGCGCGGAGCTACGACACTATATATATACACACACACAAGAGTGGAGTGGCGCTTCGCGCCATGCACCTTGGCCCTTGAAGTGTGGCACGCAGGCGAAATAGCAGGAAAGTCAAGCCGACAAATTAGCGATACCTCCTTGTTGCCTTTCCCAGCATCGTCGCTAAAGTAATGTTATTCGTTATCTGTCCTCCATGTTTCTTTTTCCTTTTTTTCGCCATACCCTGCGCATTTCCCCCATCCTCCTCAGCTCCTTTTTTGCGGAGACTCCTCCTTCTGCGGGTCTCACAAAAGTTGTTTCAGGCTTTCTTAAGGCCTTCTGGAGGCCTCCTGGGCGTATTCTGGGGGCCTCTGGGGGCTTCCTCGGGCCACCACCCTGCCTCACGGCGGTCTCCCTGAACGCCTGGGTCACGATTTGGAATGCTTCGGAGGGTGCCTCGAGGCCATCTTGGGCCGCCATGGGGCTCTCTGAGGGCCATCTTGGACCCTTGTTGTGCCGTTTTGGGGCTCTCTTGGACTGGCTGGAAGCCCTTTCGGATGGTTGTGGGGTGATTTTGGAGCCTCCCAGGCAGCTTCGGACGCCCAGAAGACCGCCGTCTTGGAGCGTCGGGAAGCCGAAAAGAGGAGAACCCCCCAGTTCACCAAAAACAAACAGAACATCAATGATTTTTGCCTCGTGGGGCCTTCTTGGGAGTGCTCTTGAAGGCCTCTTCGGGGCCGTCCTGGAGGCCTCTTGGGCCATCTTGAGGTCACGTCGGTCACTCTTGGAGCGCTCTTGTGCTGTCTTGGGGGTCTCTGGGACGTCTCCGATGACCTCCCTGATCGCCCTAGGTGTGCTGGGAAGGCTTGGCAAAACGCCCTGCGAGGCCCAGGGGGCCGCTTCGAGGCCCATCGGGAGGGTCCCAAAGCCCCAGATTCCCGGAGTCATTTTTTTTTCGGGGGGGGGGGCCCCGCCCGGGCTTATCAAAATATAGGGATAGATGCATGCACACATATATATATATATATATATATATATATATATATATGTTTCTACACATGCATGTACATATGTATATCTATGTATATATATATATATATGTATGTGTATACGTACTTGCTTCTTCGGTAGTTGGGGGGGGAGGTGAGGAAAACTGAACATTTCGCACACCTTCTGGGCCCCAGGGGCCTCTCTTAGAGGCCTCCGAAACGGGATCCGAGTATATAGACGGGGTCGGAGGAACGCGCCGCATCACCAATGCATCGGCAATGTCGGCGATGCATCGGAAACGTCGGCGTGCCACATCGAGCCGCATCGGATGCATCGGCGATGCGGCGCGATCCTCCGACCCCATCTGCTTCGACCTCATCTGGGAGGCCTGTACCTTGAGGGCCGCTGTCCGTGGAGCAAGAAAAACGGCAGAACCAAAAGCTTTCGCAGCTCCGCGCGGATTTCTGAGATCGGCGCTGGGCCACCATCCCTGGCGCGCGGAGCGCGCCTGAGGCGGCGCCGAAAGTGCCACCAGGGGGGCCCAGCGCCGATCCGAGAAATCCGCGCGGCGCTTCGGCACCTTGGTTGTTCGCCGAGCGCGTTCCGCTGCTCGCAAAGTGCCTACTCGCAAACGTCCGAAGAACACCTGTCTGCTCTGACGTAATTTGTCGTAGATCCGAGGCGGGGGATCCAGACCATTTGCGAGTAGTTACTTTGCGAGTAGTGGAACGCGATTTCTGCAGTGATTCTTATTCGATTTCTGCGGCCCTCGATCCCCCCTCGAGCCTCGCATGCTCGAGGCTGAGGCACGTGCACGGACGCTCCAGCACGTCCGAGCGGTCCCGTCGTCGAGCGAGGCTGGCGAAAAAGCACCTTTGAAGGGGCCCTGGGACACACAAATAAATAGACACAAATAACAGGATTCCCCTTATTATCCCATATTTTGTGGGTTTTTGTCTTCCCCCCTACTTCCCATATTTTCCCATGTTTTCTGGGGAATCGACGATTAATTGTGTCTGTGTGTTTTTGTTCTCCCTCCTGAACCTTTCTTGCCTCATGGCGTCGCAGTGATTCGGGGCGGCCGAGGGGGTGAGTGCAAGAGGGGTGGGCGCAGATCATGGCCGGCGGCACGTGCGCGGCCCAAGGGGGGGGCCGGGGACCCAACGACATAAGAGTAGGCGCCATGAAATCTGGGCTATCATGGCCCACGCCATGATATCCCCCCCCCCCCGCTAGCCATCGCCCCCCTCTTGGCCGCCCTGGAGTGATCCCCCCCGCCTCGGGGATGGACAGAACCCCCTTTAGTAAAACGTGGTTTAGTGAAAACGACCTCGGGCCCAAACCTGGCGGGCGCAAGCCTGGAAAATAACGGCCACGGCGCCCTCCCGAAAACCGAAAACGGACAATTCACTAATCGACGTGTCACTGTTGGGGGTTCTGTCCACCCCCGACCGCCTCATTTGTCGGGTCCGGGGTAACTCGGGTTTGGATTCCCGAAAAAGGAACCCGAGTTAGCCCTGACCCGAGTTACCCCTGATGATTCGGGGCTCTTGGACGCCCGAAATATCCGGGGTAACTCGGGTCCGGGGTAACTCGGGTTTGGATTCCCGAACCACGAACCCGAGTTAGCCCTGACCCGAGTTACCCCTGATGATTCGGGGCTCTGATCTTTTGTCGCCCCCCTCCTCGCTACGCACCGCCCGAGCACCTCGAGGCCGAGGCCGTCTGGCACGGAGTCTCCGGAGCCGGCCTCCTGGCCCGGGGGAGGAAAAAGGGCCCGCCAGGAGGAGGAGGAGGAGGAGGAGGAGAGGAGGAGGAGGAGGAGGAGGGGGAGGAGGAGGAGGAGGAGGAGGAGGAGGAGGAGGAACATATACAGTCGGACTCGAGTGGACAGGACACGCGAGAGGACCCAAGACCCGTCCGAGGGCCACATTGCCGCAGGAATGTAGGAAGCATGGGTCGCGAGGCACAGGACACAAGGGTACCCTTGATTTGGCAGGGTCGACCTACTAGTCTGGGCCGACTGAACCGATACCGCTGCTCATCATGGCGAACTCTCGTCGCCACAGCAGGATTCTCCTCGAGCTTCTGGTCAGAACGCACCCCAGGGGAGATCTCGGAGGTGGCGGCATCGGGACCCTTCAGTTCCCCAGAAGGGGGAGAACTGAAGGGACACAGCGAAGCGAACATCCAACAGCATCGTCCCGCGTGTGCGCTCGAAAAATCGACGACCTGCGCAAAGCGCAGGGGGGCGGCCTCGATTGCGAGTAGGGGTGTGCATCCAATCGGGCCGCCTCGGCACGGAATCGGAACCGAATCAGCCTGGCCGCGCAGCGTTGCCGGACGACGCCGTGTGAGCATCTGGCCGAATCGGATCGTCGAACTAGCATTAAGTCGGGCCTGTCCCCCTACAGGGGGAACTTCGACGAAAAATGCAAAATACCCCAAACATAGTCCAAAAATAGTCTCAAAATAGTCTGTGGACTATTTTTTGGGTATTTTTTAGCTTTTTGGGATATTTTTGATTTTTCGTCGAAAGTCCCCCTGTAGGGGGAGGCGCCCGACATAAAACTAGCATCACATCGGATCGAAGCGAACCCCGGAAGAGGAGGCGGCACCCTCGCGGCGGTGCGGCGGCCCGTCCCCAGACCTCAGGCACTGCGTTTGCTTCACAGCGTGCACCCTGGGGGAGGTTGGGCGACTTCCCTGGGGCCAGCGTTTCAACCTGAGTTGTCTTTTTCCCAACCAACCTGTGTTGTTGGGTCCTCGTTTTGAAGAGACGGTCCCCGCGTTCCTCCTCCTCCTCCTCCTCCTCCTCCTCCTCCTCTCCTCCTCCTCCTCCTCCTCCCTCCTCTCCTCTCCTCTCCTCTCCTCTCCTCCTCCTCCTCCTTCCTCCTCCTCCTCCTTCCTCCCCCTCTTCCCTGCGCTCCCTGGGGCCAGCGTTTCAACCCGAGTTGTCTTTTTGGAGGTCCGGGGGGACTGGTGAGGGCCCGCGGATGCCCCAAACAGCCAGAAACCTTCCGCTGTCCTTCACGATGCGAGGAGGTATGGGAGGGGGCGGCACCCCGCGGCGGTCATAACGGCCCATTCGCGCTCTGTGCCCCAAGATGACCCCCGAGACCGCCATCAGGCCCCCAAGAGGGCCCCCAAAGCTCCAGGAGGCCCCCAAGAGGCCCAAAGCAGGCCCCAGGAGGCTCTTAAGAGGCCCCCGAGAGCCTCAGAGACACCACCAAACCGCCAACAAGAGGCTTCCGAAAGGCCTCCGCAGAGATTCCCACAGGCATCCAAGAGGCCTCTGACCTTCAACCCAGGTTCGGTGGCGGGATGGCCCGAAGGCTACTGGGCATGCGCGCAGAGAGCATCATGCAGCTCGGGCGTACCAGACTTGTCAGATCGACAATTCTCCGAAATCGGAAATAGCTACAACAACGTCTCGGCCTCCCCCCGCCGTCTCTCTTCTGGCAAGGCTGAACCTAAACGGTGTCGTTCGTTCTCGTTCTGTTTTCGTTCTCCCTCGCATTTGTCTCCGATCCGCCTCTGCTGCAGAACGAGTAATTGGCCCACCCGGCCCGGGCGGACAATGTGATGACCGCGGGCCGTTTTTTGGAAGATTGTGAGAGATTTGACAATTCGTTTTGGGAATCCAGATTTTTATTCTCTGCAGTCGATCGTGGCGCGCTTCATGGTGCAATCCTCAGGGTCGAAACGAAACCGGCCCACGAGATCACCAAGAACATCGTTCGGGTCCAGCCCTGCCCTCTGCTGCGGTGCGGCGTCCTTGGCGAGAGCAGCGGCAGTCAGAGCTTGAAGGGAGGGCGGCGGTGGGGAGAGGAGGGCGGGCAGGCCGCGCGTCGAGCTCGTTGCCCGGGGGTCGCATCGGGTGCACTCCTTGGCGACTACGCGAGAGCGTTCCAGGCAGATTGAATGGGGCCCTGGGACACACAGGTAAATACACAGAAATCACAGGATTCCCAATGTGTTCCAATATTTTCTAGGTTTTTGTCTCCCCCCCACTTCCCATATTTTCCCCATATTGTCCTGGGAGTCGACGATTGATTGTGTCTGTGTGTTTCTCTCTCTCCAGACAGATGAGGTACGACACTTGCACATGTGGTCGGTCAAAGGACACCATGTCTGTCCTCTCCTCAGTCCAGCTTCATGCTCTGGGACGGCCTCATGCATAACTTTCACTGGTGCCGCTCCCTGTTTTGATATCCACGCTCGGACCTTCCGCTGACGCAAGGCTCCTCGCAAGGACTCCGCACACTGGATGAATGAAAAACGTGAAGGAAATATTGATTGATGAAGCGGGACATGCTCCGTCGTATGTCTCAAGGGTGGGGTGCGAGCCGTTGGGGGCGAGACGCCAACGAAGAAAGCACTACAGAACGTCTCTCCTTCCAGTCCGGCGCGGAGTCTCCACCATTGGAAGCGTAGTCGGTGGAGATGCTATCCGTGTCCTTGGCGAGGCACGCGCAACGCGCAAACGACATTATACACATGCAGATGCTGGGGGTTTCAACACCTTTCGTGCGCATCAAGACGGAACACTGAGAATGCCAGATTTTGCGTCTCCATTTTGCAGAGGGGCACTCAGGCAAACACAATGCATTAAACATGCCAGGACAAGCAGAACATGCGAGCTAGAACACACTCTGCAAATGATCTGCACCATCAAAGCATAACTCGAGCATGTAAGCAACGAACACGCAGCATCACCACAACATCAATTACCCATCAGACCAGCCCAAGGCCGATACGGTTGGGACAGGGTGGAATCAACGTCGGGACAACCATCGGGACCACTGTCTCCATCCATCGAACAACCTCTATCGGTATCTCACTCTCTCCCTGTTCTGAACACAATAATCATTTACACATACGTGTATACACATATGTATCTATTACACATGATGTATACCGATGCCACCATGCGTCTACCGATCCCACTGGTAAACGCAAAACTCAATCTTAAAACATGTGTCGATCGATCATTCCGTGAACCTCACTATATATCTACTGATCTCCCTGCCAATCAATAAATCAACCATCGGGGCGACCATCGGGACAACCTCTACCGTAACAAACATCGAATCCACCGGTCTGCATCGATGTATACACAGATGTGTATAGTTACATATATCTATATATACTAATGCCGCTATACAGCTATCGCACTAGCTATCTGCCTATGGCAGAAACTGTATGTGTATCGAAATCGCTACGTGTATAGAAATATATGCATGTATAAATATCCATTCGATCGATCGGTCTCATCATCTGATATTTGCCTATTCGCCTCTCACTATCCATACATCGGTAGACTAACATGACATGACTAATCTATGCGCTAGAAACCCGCGCGCGCTTCGCGCGCGCGTGGGTTCTGGCGCAATCCAAGCCGACCTCACAACATCAGATGACCATGAACATCGTCCTGCAAGGGCCATCATATGGGAGCGTACTTCCTGATGGACGCTTCAGAGGTCGCGGAAGAAAGTTCCAGGAAGTCGCGCAAGGCAGCCACGAGGAGGAGCCAGGGCGGCCCAAGGAAGGATTCCCGAGAGCCCCTAAGAGCCCTGCAAAACCATGCCGGTAATCTCTTTGGATGCCTTTGGGGACGTTCTTGGAGGGCTACTGGGGGTTTCTGGGGGGCGGGGCATCTCCGGTTTTTGTTGGGGGTCTCCTGGTGGCCTCTTGAGACTTTGGTGGGGCGCCTCGGGGGCCTCCGTGGGCCTCTTGGCGTCTGGGCTTGAAATGTCGGTCTGGATCCCCGCTCTTGCCCCTGTTTTGGGGCCGTCTTGAGCGCCTCTTGGGTCATCTTGGCGGCCTCTTGGGCCATCTTGGCGCTCTGAGGGGTCGGATTGGAGCCTTCGCGGGGACCTCTTGGGTTGGTGCTGTCTTGGGGACCCATTGGGCCGTCTTGGAGCCATGCAAGCATGATGGAGGCGGAGAAGGGAAGGTGTGAAGGAGAGACGAAAAGGAGGGAGGAACATGACGCAACTGGGAGGAAAGAGGAGGAGAGGAAAAAGGATGTGAAACGGAAGACGGGAGATAACCAACAACACGAGAGATATCAAAGAGAACTGACAACGAGGATAGGGAAAACGGAAACGCCTTTTGGGGCACGCCAAAACCTGGGACAGGAGAACACGGAGGGAGGAGTCCAGCTTGAAAAACAAAGGATGTGAGGGATTCCTTTGTTTCTAGCCCTCCTACTTAGTGGGGCAAGATGCTGGCTGAGGGAAGCGGAGAGGGGAAGAAATGAACGAGAGATAATGACGAGGTGGGGTGAGACGAAAACGCATGATGGATGCGGTTAGAGGAAAGCGTGAAGGAAAGACGAGGAGGGAGGGATGCTTACGCAACGGGGAGGAAGAATGATAATAAGAAACAGGATGTGCAAAAGAAGACGGAAGAAAACTGAGAGCAGGCGAGAGAACAAGGAGAACGGACAGCGATGGATGGGGAAAGCGGAAACGCACTCTGGGGCACACCAAAGCCTGGGACAGGAGTGAACGGAGGGGGGGGCGACCTTGAAATAAAGGATTTGAAGCATTTCCTTTTTTTTGAAAGTGGCTCTGGAGGCCCCCAATAGCACCAAGGATCCAAGGGTGCCCCAAGAGCTCCAGGGAAGCCCTCGAGAGGCCAATACCATTGCAACAGCTAAGGAACATTTGCGATTTCTGTGTTCTCGCACTTCCGCCTCCGACGCGCTTCCGAAGCTTGCGCCGGCCACCATGAGCCGCTCTGGACGCCTCTTGGAGGCATCTTGGATTTTTCGGGGGCTTCTTGGAAGCTCTTGAAGGCCTCTCAGTGCCCTCTTCGGCGCTGGGTGCCTCTGGGGCGGCTCCTGGGAGCTCGTTGGGGCCTGCGCGGAGCATCTTTCGGGCCTCCGTGGGGCCCCTTCGGGCGTCATGGGAACCGCTTGTGACTGGCGATCGGGCTCGCTTAAACGATGACGAGGTGAGGTGGACTCGCCATCGCTCAGACGTCCATTCCCTGTGTATTTTTTCGGTTTCGTGCGTGCTTTTTTTCGCCAAATGATCAAGGATGCTCCTCGATGGTCCTCGCCGAAGAAAAAAACGCACACGCCCGAGCGATGCCAAGTGGAGGGCATGATCAGTCAGCATCGCATCGGCAACTCGGGTGGAATCGGCGTGCAGATCGAGCCGCACCGGCACGGAACCGAACTCGAAGCGGATCGGCCGCGCCGGGATACACAACGCCGCCATGTGAGCATCGGGCCGCATCGGATCGCCGAATGATCGGATTCGAATCGGATCGGCCCGAAGCGGATCGGACACGGGGGCACAAGACCCGAAGCCGTTTTGGATAGCCCTCTGGCCGTTTTGGGGGCGTCTTGGGGTTCCGTTGGGGCTCTCTTGGGGAGGCCTCTTGTAGGGGGCCACATGCAAACCCTACCCTTCCCCCCCACGATTTCTGAGGGGGAGGGGTAAGGTTCGCATGTGGCCCCCTATCTTGGGGCATCTTTGGGCGATGTAAGAAGCCCTCTGAGGCCGCTCTGGGGCTGTTCTGCGCCGTCTTCGGGAGCTGTGGGCGTCCGTGGGCTCTCTTGGGGGTGCCTGGGGGCCTCCTGTGGGCTCCCTGGGAGCCCTGCATGGGCCTCCCTGGGCCGTCTTGGGCCTTCTTGGGGCCCTCTTGGGCCGTCTTCGGGCTCGTTTGAGGGCTTCTTGGGCTGCTTGGGGCGCGGTTCTGGCGGCGTCTAGAGTGTCTGGGGGCCTCCTTTGAGCTCCCCCGGACGCTTGCAGGGGCCTCTCTGGACCGTCTTGGGCCTCCTTGGGGCCCTCTTGGGCAGTCTTCGGGCTCCCTTGGCGGCGTCTGGCTGTTTTGGGACAATCTTGGTGGCATCCGGGGGCCTCCTTTGGGCTCCCGGGGGCCTCTTGGGCTCTCTTGGGTTGTCTTTTGGGTCTCTTGGGGGCTTCTTGTGCTGTTTAGGGGCGGTCTTGGTGGCGTCTGGGGTCGTGGTGCACGCTGGGGCAGCCCGCCACGTCTAGATTCTGAAAACCCATGTTTTTCCCCCCGAAAAAAGAATTCGAAGATTGCAGACTCCCTGGACCTTTTTGGGGGCCATCTTGGAGCCCTCTAGGGACGTTTTGGGAGCCTTGTGGGCCTTCTGGACGGGATCTTGCATGGTCCGGGGGCGTGGGGGCTTCTTGGAGGCGTCTTGGGGACGGCCGGAGCTTTTCTGAAGGCCTCGTGAGGGCCTTCGGGGGCCCCGGTCCCCCTATGCGCCGCCGTGGTCCCTGCACGCGGCCAGGGGGCCTCGTCCCCCGGTATATGTGTGTATATATTATATATTGTATTATATATACATACTAGAGCCATCGCGCGCGCTTCGCGCGCGCTCAGGTTCTAGCCCAGGCTGGGGGCGCGCTAGAAGATCTTGGACAGCGCTATCAAGTGCAGGCGCGTGACATAGTCGTGCCTCCTGAGGGCCTCTTGGGAACCTCTTGGGTCTTCGTGGGGGCATCTGAAGGGCTTCTGGGGGGTTCTCCGTACTTCCTCAATTGGCTGTTGGAAACACCTCTTGGGTGCTTCCCGGGGGGGCATCTTGGGGCTTCTTGGGGTCCCTTGGGGGCATCGTCAGGGTTCTCTGGGCAGTCGGAAAGTGATGTTCTGCAGTCTGAAGCAATCAATTGGCCGTCTTGCAACGGGGAAGCCCGGCTTGAGGCCACATTGGGGCAATCCGGAAGCCTCCCGGGGCCTCCTTGAAACAATTTTGATGCATCGAGAACACTGTTCGGTTATCTTGGGGCCCCGTGTACGTCTCCTGTGAGCCTTTTGGGGCCTGGTGGGGGGCTTTGGGGGGCCTCGTCGGACCACTTGGGGACTCTTGGGGCCTCCTGTGGGCCATTTAGGGTGGAAAGCTCTGCTGTTGGGTTCGCGTTCCCCTTCTTGTGGCTCTCTTGGGGCCCTCTTGGGGCCCTCTCGGGCCGTCTTGGGTGCCTCGGGCACCGTCTTGGGGCCCTCGTGGGCCGTCTTGGGGCCCTCTTGGAGGCCTCTTCGGCTATCTTGGAGCGGTCTTGGGGGCCACTTGGACCGTCTTGGAGCGTCGGGATGCCAGAAGGCTGGGAACTCTAAAATCCATCAAAAGCCGATGGGAAAACAATGCTTCTTGGAACCTCTTCGGCCTTCTGGGGAGCTTCTTGAGGGCCTCTTGGGTCCCATTTGGGGGCCTCTGGGGCTTCCTAAGAGCCTCTCGGGGTGGAAAGCTAGGACTTTCGGTTCGTCTTACCCCTCTTGGGCCCCCCTTGGGGCCGTATTGGTGCCCTCTCGGGCTATCTTGGGCCCTGTTGGAGGCCTCTTGGGCTATCTTTGGATTGGTCTTGGAGGCCTTTTGGGCCGTCTTGGAGCGTTAGGACGCCAAAAGGCTGAAAACTCTAACATCAATCAAAAACTTATGGCACGACACGGATTCTTGCCTCTTGGGGCCTTCGTGGGAGGCCTCTTGGATACTCTTCGGGCCCCTGGGGAGCTTCTTGGGGCCTCTTGGAACCTGTTAGGGGCTTCTCGGGCCTCCTGAGAGCCTCTCGGGCGGGAAGACTAGGATTTTCGGTTCGTGTCAACCCTCTTGGCTCCATCTTGGGGCCGTCTTGGGGCCCTCTCGGGCCGCCTTGGGCGCCTCTGGCGCCGTTTTGGGACCCCCGTGGGCTGTCTTGTGACCGTCTTCGAGGCCTCTGGGGATGCCTTGGAGCTGAAATCGAAGCCTCTTGGGCCGTCGTGGAGCGTCAGGAAACTCAAAAGGCGAGAACTCGAAAGTCGATCAAAAAACAAAGGAAAACAAATGAGTTGTGCCTCCTGGGGCTCCTTGGGAGCCATCTTGGAGACCGCTTGGGGCGTCTTGGAGGCCTCTTGGACAGTCAGGGACCAATTCTGCAGTGATTTCGGGCGGTCATTGGTCGTTTTCGTTGTCTGGAAACGCCACTTCTGGTAATCCAGGGCCGTCTTCGGGCGACTTTACAAGGCCCCCGGCGCCACGGCAATGCCCCCGGGCTCCCCCGTGCGAGGGCCCCGTCCCGGGCCCCGCCTCGTGCCCGCGGCATGGCGTCCCTGGACCGTCTCGGCGCACTCGTGGGGGCCTGTTGGGGCGACATTGGGTGTCTGAAATCCATCAAAACCTAAAAACAATAAATGATTTTGGCGACCCTTTGGGCCGTGTTGGAAGCCTTGTGGGCCGTCCGGAGGCCATCTTGGGCGTTCTCGAACGATGTGTCCTCGTTTCGGGGCCTCTCTGAGGCCTCTTGCGGCCCTTTTCGTCTGTGTTGGGGTTTTCTTGGGCCGTCTGGGGACGGCCCTGGGCTGTCTCGGCGCCCTCTTGGAAGTCTGTTTGTAGGATTTCTGGGTGTCCTGGACTGATTTGTTTGGGTGTCGTTGGGCGCCTCCGGAGGCTTCGGGGCCTGACGCGTTTCCGAGCGTGGCGGCAGGTAGCGCTGCTTGGGACTCTCGTTTTCTTTTTTTTGGGGGGGGGGGGGCAAGCGTTTCGGGAACATGGTTTGGAGAGAGGGCGGCAACCCGAGAATCATGTTCCCGGGAAGCTTTCCGGGAACATGTTTTGTTCGGCTCTCTTAAGAGGGGAGCCTCTGGGGGCTTACCGAGGGGCCCTTTTTGGCTTTGTCGGCAACTGTTTCGAGCATCGTCGAGGGGTCCAACTGTTTCGAGTATCGTCTCTCCGATCCCCATCCCCAGCGGCGTGGCCTGGGCCCCACTGGCCGATTTACCCCCCTAAATGGGGATTCAGGCCGTTCCTGGGACGCACAGAGACATACTAATACTATATGTTCTCCTTTGAGGCGCGCGTCCGACCCCAACATATAATATACCCATCTTGTAGTACATCATTTCCCGAGCGGTGTGGCCGGAAAGCGCCCGCCACGACGCATATACCACACGATTTCTCCGTGCGCTCGTCGCCCCGGGGGGGTGGGGGGGGCGACGCGCATGTAGTGTAAGTGTGTTGGGGCGACGCCGAGTTCCCTTCGGGGGTAAATTGGTGGGGGTCTCGAAGGGGATGGGCATGGGGATGGGAGTCGGTTACACGATACTGAAGTTTCGATCCTCGAATAGACGAGCGCGTTCCACTACTCGCAAAGCAATTGCTCAGAAATTGGCCTGGCTCCGCCGCGGGTGACCTGCGACACACCTCGTCGAGACAGAGATCCGTTCCTCGGACGCCTGCGAGCAGGCGCTCTGCGAGCAGTGGGGCGCGCTCGGCGATTGCAGGCGAGGCCCTCTCCTTGCCGTCGCTCGGACGTCCATTTCCCGTGCATCGTTTGGTCTCGTGCGTGCTTTTTTTCGCCCGATGATTCGGGATGTTCCTCAAGGGTCCTCGCCGAGAAAAAATGCACACGTCCGAGCGATGCCAGGCCTCCCTTGGGAGCGACCAAGAGAGGGGTGTCCAAGAGGGGGCGGGGGTGCAAACCATCACCGGCGGCATGTGCGCGGCCCAGCGGGGGCGCCAGGGACGCAAATGAAACAAGAAGAGGCGCCATGAAAGCTGGGGGAATGTCATGGCCCCCGCCATGATATCCACCCCCCCCTAGTCACCACCCCCCTCTTTTCCGCCCCCGACTCCGCAGCGCCCGGCACACGACGGCGGGGCGGGCCGGGCCGCCCGCACGCCGCGGCCCCGCGGCGCGCAGAGGGGGCCCTCTCAGCC